TCATTGTAATTTATTAATAGTACAATAAAGTAAAATAGTTGTTACTATTGTAGCAACTTGTTGTTGAACTTGAATGGTCAAGAAAAGGTTAAATTGTGCTTAAGAATACTAGGAAGTATGTTTAATTTATAGAAAATTTAATAACTTTCATGAAGAAACTGTCAGCTAACTAGAAAACTCGATTATACAGAATAACTCCTTTTCCTAAAAGCCCGGTTAGACAAAGTTTTATTGTGATATCTAATTATACACTTATAATTTCAAAGTATCATAATATTTTAAGTAGATACATTTATTAGCTGTTTACTCTCATGTGAGTATTTTTACCTAAGTCATGGAACAAACTACGTTTGCTGACTGGGCTAAGGCGTCAGAGATTCTTAACGTTCTAATCAAGACTTCTGTGGAAATTGATAGTTTACATGAAAGGGGCATAAGGGAAGGAGGTATAGAATTCTGTTATAGTTTAAACTGTACTTTAATGTGCTAATGTATTTGAACTCTCAGTAAACGTCTAGACCAGAAACAATCAGACACAAGTTACGATTTAAAGTAATAAAGTTTATGTGTAAGCGTGGACTTAAAGTATTTTACAAAGGCTTTAAGGTATAATTGGCCTTTCTTGTGAACTTGATCTGATCTATTTAGTACAGAATAGGATAAACACTTCTTATTAATGATTTCTGGCATTGCTGTCTGCTCATTCACAATAACCTTATTAAGGCACCAGATGATGATCAAATTTGGAACATGGAAAATAAGTTTAAAAGAGATTAAGCTGGGAAACTATCACCGATTGATAGGAGAATTACCGTGATTCTAGCAAACTCTGATTGTATTATATAATCAATTACAGTAGTAAACCTAAAATTGATGATGAAAACCTGTCTGAATGTGGTTGTTTTTGTAGCCATTACTTAAAGTTTATAGGTTCTGAGTATAGTTAGCACTCTTTATTTAATGTAATAGATCTAGGTTCTTTTTTTCAGAACTTTGTTTTTTTTCTTTAGGTCACCAAACAGGAAAACAACTGACCACAGAATTAGTAGACTGGTTACACAACATTCTGTGGAAAAAAGCTGCCAGAAGTTTTGAGGTTTGAGAATAATCTATTTTCATTCTTTATATTCTTTCTCCACTATAGCAAAAAAATGTGTTCACTATAAAAATCACAGAGCATCAAATACTTTAATAATCTCTCTCCATTTGGATATTATATATTTATTAAAATTCACAATATAAAGTGTTAATGAGCATTGTACAAAAATTTATTAGAAAACAATAAGACATGGTTCCTCCTCATTGGGAGCTTACAGTACAGGGAAATATCATCATTGATATTAAGATATAGGAATGTAATTTATTTTAACATGAGGGCTGAGAAATTCAGAGGGTTTTTATTCCTTTAAAAAGTTGTGGTGCAGCCGGATATGGGGGCCTGTGCATGTAATCTCAGCTACTTGAAAGGCTGAGGCAGGAGGACTGCTTGAGCCCAGGAGCTCTAGACCAGCCTGGGCAACATAGCATGACCCTCTCTCAATAAAGAAAAAGTTGTGGTGCAATTAAAAAAATGCAAAAACAACTTTGCAAAACAAACCAGATTTCTGACAGAAAAATTTGAAACTAAAGATAAGCTTTTTTAAAATAAAAAGCAAAGAACAGTCATTCATAATCTGATCACTCTTAAAATTTTGGTATATTTCCTTCTAATCTTTGTGTACATTTATGTGTCTATGTATATAAATCAAATGGGATGTACTATTAAAAAATAGTTGTGGTGCACTTCCACTACCAATTAATATGTAGTAACAGGGACTGGTTTATGTCCCTGCTTGAGCAGCACCTCCTCCAAACAAAAATGAGGCAAAATACATGAAACGAAGAAAAATGGTTTTTGATGACACTGAACATCAGGCAATGAAAGAGAATGATCCCTGAGAGATAAGAAGTAAGGTGAGCACTGCCAATTGTGCAGCTTACTGCCTTGAGTTTCTAGGCTATAGCACAGGAAGGGGAACTGAAGTGGAGCTTGGCAGGCATCTTGATTTGAGGAGATGGAGCTGAGAGTTGAGGGAGACCAAGGCAGCTAGAGTTCATAAGACAGGGTATCAAAAAGGAGTGCATAGCACAGAGAGAGAAACCTAGTGATTACAAGGTATTCCTCCAGTGTTTAGTAGAGTACTAATAAGGACATACATGAAACAAAATTAACTAAAGCTGGGGGAATAACCATCTAAGAATATTAGAGGAAATAGTGCCCAGCACTCACATGGGGCTGGGAAGATGGCTTGTTCTTACCTCTTAGACTGCAAAACCTCTAATTCGTGGAGCATTGTGTAGAAAACTCAGAAAGGTCTAGTCTCAGAAATGGGGATCAATTATTCCTACACTGAGTCATGCTCAAGACCCACCTAAAACTTATAAAAGTATAATGTGAAAGCATCAAATTGAATCCAAGGAACTTAATTGCTTCCTAGAGCAGAGCTCAAGAATATTTATAGGAATACAAAACTACAGCACCAAACCTGATAATGTTCACAATGTCTGGCATCTAATGAAAAATCACCAAGTTTGCAAAGAGGCAGAGAAACACAACCTATGATGAGGAGAATAAGCAATCAATTGAAACTGACTCAGAACTGACATAGAAGTTAGCATGAACAGAAAAGAATATTAAAATACTTCTTATAATTGTATTCCATACATTTAAAAAGTTAAGTAGAGACATAGAAGCTATATAAAGATCCAAATTAAACTTCTAGAGATGAAAACTATAATGTCTAGGATGCAAAATATATTGGATAGTATTA